ACTTCCACGGGTCGAATAGACAATAGCCATTAGACAATAGCCAAGATCTGGGACCCTATGACTGGCTTCGTCAGCTTTGAGACTCCAGAAGCTTAATTTAACCTTCAGTTTAGCAATGGTTTAAATTCGTCGTTGTACTCAGAATTCTATTTCATGACCCGTTCGACAAGAGGCCAGTAGTTACCTTCTTCCCCCGAATACAACGTACCGTCATTATAGCTGTATTCGGGGCATCTTTCAGTCTAAATACAGCTATAATGACCGTACGTTGTATTCGGGGGAAGAAGGTAGCTACACGTGCAGAGCTCCCGGTATGCGAACCCACGACCACACCAGCTCCTTAACTGCTACTCGTTCGTACTTTGCATGCACGCAGGGTCCATGAGCATGAGATCTGTGTTTCAAGAGTTATGCGGAGGAGGATTTGATCTCATGACCTGTTTCACAACGTCTGCATGTGGTCAACTTACCATTCGCGCTCAGCATCTGTTAAAGGTCAACCGATTGCTTTTTTTTTTTTTTTAATTATTATTATTATCACCTTTTTTAACTTCGACTCGTGGATACCATTTAGGTTAGGGAGGTGGTGCCCAAGTGGCTCCCCTGTTGACGGCTCCATCTATTGATGGGGAGCTGCACCTGGTCTGGAAATAAGGTCCAGGCCCACTCGAATACAAGACAAAACAACGACTGAATGTCAAATTTTGGGACAACTGACTTATATTGGCAATGGATTAAGAAAAAAGAAGGCAACGGATTGCATTTTGCCCCTAGTCCCTGACGGAACTCGTGACCAGGGGCCAAGTCCCACTAGCAGAGTTGAGCTACTTCAACGCCTGAATGTGGACGCTTTTGCAGAGATGTGCAGAAATGGTGTTGAGTTTCCTGAAATGCACGTCTCCACAAACACGTCCAGATTCAGGCGTTGAGGTAGCTCAACGCTGCTAGCGGGACTTAGCCCCAGTTTATCAACAGCTACATTCACGCCGGACCCGGTTTCTGCCTTCTTTTTTTTTTTTTTTTTTTTTTTTTTTTTTTTCCCCGGCATGTATAATGTAACAGCAGCCTCGGTATGAACCCGGCCGGAGAGCCCGGAGCATGGTCCCATTAGCAAAGAGGGTTGGATAATAACCTGAATCTGGACGTGTTTTAAGCAGGACATGCGGAAAAGCAGTTCCATCTCGCCATTCTGCACCTTTCCGCAAACAAGTCCAGATTCAGGTGTTTCATCCAATCCTCTTTGCTAGTGGGACCTCGTCCCCGGATCATGCC